GGATCAGCAGAGCGAGTTCCTGGACTGGTTGCAGTGGTGCTGGACTGGCTTCAAAAGTCCCCAGATCACGACTCACTTGATTTTTACCTGTAGGGACACTTGAAAGCCATGATGTACTGTAATGGGAAAAGCAGCACCTAAAGGAATGCATTTGAAGTGCAATTTGGCACCTAATGCTAGGTTTGTTAACATAAGCTCACCATAAATAGAAGTCACATCCATATGTGTTTTCAAAGGTAACCATGTTGAGTATATTTTGTGAATAAAAGTTACACTTGATAAAAGGTGTTAATTTTTCCAATGCTTGGGGACCTTTGGACCACCCTATATGTATATTGAAAGAGAGAGAGGAGTGGGGGGCACTACAAAATAGTTAGCCTATCACTGTAAGCCATCCAGCAAGTTGAAGCTGCTATTGACCCCTTCAACTTCTCCAATTGCTTGAGAGCACTTGGCTCAGATGCTCCAATTGCCTGGAGATGATTTAAGGTTCCCATTTTTTTATAGCTACACCTATTCAAGGTGAATAATATTTAACATGGGAGACCTCTATTGATTGTTTCCCATATTTGAAAAAATCTTGAGTCCATTAGTTTCCTTCTAGGACCTGAATAAAAAGATGTGGACCATGTCTGGCGCATTACCATCCTTTGTCTGAACGTGCGTGATGGCTACGCTAGGAACTATTGAACATTTCAATAATGTTCACGGCACCAATAACGTGATTACATATGTATATTTACAGGCAAAAGGCATGCTATGTGCAATTATAAGATTTAGGCTTATTTATATATACATGTTAGTATGAAAAAATACAGGATACTTGTATACTTGTACACATACACAGGATCCCAGTAATACAGTTGAGTTTTTTCCTAGACTCTCAATTGAGAATTCTGGGTTTGAATCTGTGGTGGGACAGAAAAGGTTTGGCATGTTTCCTATCACCCAATGCTCTGTTCACCTAGCAGTAAATAGGTACCCAGGAGTTTGTTTCTTTGTTATGGGGTTGCATTCCAAGGAGTGTTAGTAATTTGACCCTGGGGAGGGAGGGAGGGTGGCAGACCTCGATACAAGCCTAATGTGTACTGTGTATAAACTCGCTGCCTGTCCTCCGACACAAGGAATTATTAATAATAGAATACAAATATTTCCAAAGTTATACTTCATGAATAAGGAAAATAAATGGATCAAGTTATTCCCATGCAGCACCTCACCTCATTCCTAATTTTTTGTTATCATTTCACCATCCATGTATTTAAAAGCAATTATGAAATTGTATGTCCTATATGTGGTCGTCTGGTGACAGACTACTATCCCAAGCCACCCCTATAATTTTTCTTTGTCAGACTTCTTAGTGTCTTTCCACATACAGTAAATTGTAGGTTGTGTGAGACCTATTTTTTCTAATGCCATATAACATTCCATGACATTTATTTACACTTAAGCTTCATTTGCCAAGTGTTGCTCCATACCTATTTTGTCCATACTCTTAGACATCTTGAAGGGCATGATAATCATCTAACTTTCTTATCTTCCCTAGTAGCTTAGCATCATCAATAAAGATCTTCATATAGTTCTGTATTCCTTCTGGTAGATTGTTTATATAGATAATGAAGATTACTGGTGCAAGAACTGAACCATGTGGTACTCCACTAGTAACTCTTCTCCAGGTTGATACATTACCTCTAATTACTACCCACATCTTTGTCAGAAAAGTTTCCTCTGTCAGGAGTCTGCCTGTCACTCATCCAGCATGTTGTAGTTTCCAGAACAACCTATTGAATGGGACTCTGTCAAAAGCTCCAGTTTGAGGCAGGTTGATGAGGAACTTAGTAGAGCAAGGCTACTAAATCAATAACTGATACTCTTAATGGATATGTCAAAGGTGAGCCATCATGCAGCCTCAGACGAAACACAGACAACAGTACATTACCAGTCCCTGCTATTAAATATTTTACAGTAACTTCTCTACAGCCTACAAAATGGAAGTGTGTGTCCTGAAAACATTATTTATAGATATGTGACCCCTACCGACACCAACTAGAAGATTGAATTTATAATTTACATGCTATGTATAAGAGCAAGATGACTGTCAACTCACCCATGAAAAACACTGACACACCAAACAAAACCCCTTGAAAGAAATGAATGTTGTGTATGCTTGCACCTGTCTACTTGGGGACTATTAGCCCAATCAAACTGAATACTGGTACAGGTATATAGACAAGACAAAAACAACTTTTTCAAGGCACCTAACATTGCATAAACAGCAAGGCTCTATCAAGGACACACAGTCGCTACACAACCAGATCATCACCAGATATATCCTGACAAACACCAGTAAAATAATTGAAAAATACAGTGACAATCAAACACTGGGACATTGGTGAGGCATTATGCATGAAACCAACCAACTAGCAACAGCCAATTAAAAATAAATTACACTCTGCCATCTTTGAGAACATAATGAAACTTGCAATATATTGCCACAGCCTTCATGAAAACACATGGGATTGGTTGGCCCATAAGTGAAGTGCTTCACTTTCACCTCATCCCTGGCTCCTGCAGCTCAAACATTTGTAACTATTCAAACTCTGCCTTTGATAATGTTGACAAAAATCATTGAAATGCGTCTCTTGGTTTCAATTCTTAATAAAACTGTAAAATGATTTTTGGAAAGTTAATTTTTGAACTTCCTTCTCAATTCTTCTTTATTATGCACCCCATATCCATCCCGTGGGCAGTGGTGGATAAGGTGAGAGGCACATTCAGTTCAGGAACTGAACCCCGTAGTTCATTTAGCTAAGCAAGTGACAAGAAATCATTAGAAAAATAAAGAAGATTTATTTATATAACAGATATTTCAATCTTGGCTTCATATATGTTTTCAAACAAAGTTAGACAAAATCAAGTAAAAGAGCATGGAATGAGGCCAAGTGAAGTCCAGGCTTTGCTATTGTTCAATAATGCACCTGATCACACAACCATTGATAACTTAACCTCACCATCACTTGAGGTTATGTCCAACCCGCCAATACCACCTCCCATCCAGGCCATGGATCAAGGAGTTATCCATGCCTCAAAGAAGTTGTACAAAAAATCTCTGTCAAAATAAGAATTGGGTGTTTTCTCTCTTTAGGAAGAATGTCAGGATACTAGGGAACAAAGAACACAAAAGTTTAAAGAAATATTCAGCAAAAGGAACAATATATAATTGGACTAAATTTTGGAGTGAGGTTAAGGAGTCTATTTTTAAGAATGTTTAGAGGAAAATCCTAATAGTTTCAGTTAATGAGATTGAAGAAGTAATCTTAATTAAGTTTTAAGAGATATGCCGACGAGATTCATGATAATTTCAGACATTCTAGTGAGAATGTTTACAACAGAATATTGTAGACTGGCTAGGAAAGAGGTGCTAATGATGCAAGCTATATTATCTTGACTGAAGATGAAATTGTTGTGGTGGAAGGCAAGGGGGATCAAAAGAAAGAGAAGACCTATGGCATGTTATAAATGGTATTAATAAATTATTTATACTTTTAACAGTGACAGTCAAAGGTGTTGGAAATTAATATCACTGCTTCAGGCACTGTAAAGAACTGATCATCTAGGAGGCCAATAAAAAATACTTGCCAAAATTTATACATGTTTGGTAAAATTTAAAAGCCATGGACCTTCAATTAGTAAAGCCTCAACATCTGACAGTCGGAACTAAGTTTGGAAACCAGTTCTTTGGTAATTTTAAGGTTAGGTTAGATTAGGTTGACATCCTAAGTAACGAACAAATCCACAAGGGCTGTGACGAGGGTTTGAACCTTCGTCCGGGATGATCCCATACGCGCCTTAGTCGACTGCGTCACGACACGATAAAACCCTGATTTGTGTCTCGGAGAGGCTGCGGGATCTGTGTGAGGGTAGTAGCACTCCCAGTTCCAATTCTTTTACCATGTCGTGGTGCAGTTGACTAAGGTGCATCTGGGATCATCCCGGACGTAGGTCCGAACCCTCGTCATGGCCCTTGTGGATTTGTTTATTTGATGTATCATGCTATTGTGATTTCTGTGTGTATCCTAAGCAATATTTAGGGTCCTTTGAATATCTAGCAACACAGACTGTGCTGATACACAAGTCTATCCAGCTTGAGGCATTCATTTTTATAAATACTTCCCTATGTAGCTTAAGTTGATTAAGCTGCTTATAGCCACATTTTATGTTTAGATTTTCATGTAAAATATATACAAAACAGTCTGATCTATATATATTTTACATTGGCAGAATATAATACTCAAAATGCTGAATATTGTTGATGGTACTCTTATTTTAAGAATTACTCGTAATAACTGGGCATGTTAAGAACTCTTGTAGTACGGTACTGTTCTATATACCCATGCCAACACCAGTAATACCTTCATCCCAAAGGTAATGTTCAAATATTTTTTTTTTTTTTTTTATTAACCAAACCCCTCTTTTTCCCCTCCCCCCCCCCCCAATCCTCAATGAAGAATTTGATCATCTCTGAAAATAATAAAATGACCGTGGTAATGATACATGAACATATTTTCCATTTGAATGGAGGAAAAATAACAGCTAAAATTAATGAAATGTAAACTGGTTGATTTAGCCATAGACTTAAAGTTTCTTTTAGTTAAAAGTTTAGTACAGTAGTAATAAACATATAAAATATCAAGGTTTGCAAATGTGTGTACATGGATGGAGAGTAAAATTAATTTGAAGCTAAGTTTTTCTTAGTTGTAGTGGAAGAGTACATAAGTTATTTATGCTTCTAAATAAGTGTTATATTTTTTGTAAATTTTTGTTAACTGTGCAGCAATATTAAAACTTTTTTTTTTTTTAACAAGTAAGGCAGCTTTTTTAATTTTACCTATTTTGGTATATGACCTCAATGCAAAAATCCTAAAATTTCCCCATACCTAATGCTGGGCAGGTTTCAGTTGGTTAAATGCCTGGAGTTAATCTCTGCCATCTTTTTTCTACAGTTTTCTAAAGGACCTAAGGTTGCAAGAGGAACAACTTTGCTGTATGACGTAAGTCAGTGCTCACCTCCCACTTCCTCTTTCCTGCATTGACTTTGGTTTTTATTTATTTATTTTTTTTTTTTTTTAATAATCAGTTGCTGCCTCTTTAGTTTTTTTGTGTGGGCACCCATGCTTGGGGTCATTTCAGTTGTTAGCTGTGCTGCTGCTCCATCATGTATGTTTTTCTCTTTTTTTTTTCTTTTTTTTTTTTTTCTTTTTCCGTTATCTGAGGTGAAATCAAAAGGATGTGGTATCTGTGTTTTGGTTTCTTTGCATATTGATATGCATTGGTTGGGTTTGATAGCCAGTATTTAGTGATAGATAGGGATGACTTGATCAGCATGCATATGAGATGGAAGATGTTTACAAGATGATGCTTAAATGGAATTATTAGTGGCATTTAAATTGGCTTTCTCTATTTCTGCATTTGTACTTTGATTATGAAAATAAGTGGAACATGTAATGAGTAAAATTGTGTTATTGTAATAGCATCTAGAAATGTTTCTATTATTTCTGCTTGGAACATTTTCTTGAGTGTAAAAATTGTCATACTGCTCAAGCAGGGCATTTAATATAACTTAACTAATATTACAATCACTACAAATCTAGCAAATGTTTTGTAAAACAAATGTTTATTTTAGGTTTGGCAATATTGGTGGTAGATACACATTAGCCACTAATAAAAAATGTCTTCTGTAAATACTGTATAATATGTTACATCAGGACTAAGAAATGTTGTCAAATTCATAAAGAATATATTGACTAAAAATATAATTGAGATTCTGTACATTTGTTCCATTTCATTTACTGGAGATGGAATGGAACAAGCAAATATACTTGCAGAACTTTGCTTTAGTCCATTTGATTTGGTATAAATTCATATAGAAAAACTGCAATATAGGTATTATAATAAATTTGTATTATGAAGTTCAAGTATTTTGTTGCATAACAAATGAACATTACAACACAAAAATATGTTGTGTTTTTAAAACGATAAATTTTAATCATAAATTTGGACCATCTCTTGTACTAATAATAGTTTTGCTATAGCTAATCCAAATGTTTCAAGATTGCTCTGGTGTTTTTAATGCTGTATGTCCTGAACACTGTTTTGAAACAAATCAGTAGCAAGAGCAGTGTTTAAACATCGATTCAGAACTAATTTGTTACATTGAAAATGCACATATTGAAGTGAGATGGATGCAGTGGAATTTTGGTACTAAAATGGTTCCTAAAGGCGGGTCAAATGCCGATTTGTTCGAGTACTGAACAGTTTTTCCCATAAGGAATAATGAAAATTGGATTTATCCATTCCAGACCACAACAATAAATATATTAATGAAATAAATTAAATGAATGCTAATGGCATATGTGGGAGATGGTGAGGCAGAAGAAGAGAGATGTTAGTCTTTGGCAGGGGAGTTTCCTACCATTATAACTTCTGGTAGTTGTGCTTCTGGGGTTCTTTCTCTTCTGTCTTTATCTGTTTCCCTCATTAGACTTGCTGGATGCTTTTCTTACAAGACACTTGTTCAATGTGCTTTAAAATGTATCTGAAAGAGAGACATAGCATTGTCATTTAACAGGTTTATAACACAGTTTGTCATGAGCTTTGTCAGGGTGATATTTTTCAAGAAAACTTTGCAATTCCCCTCATTTTGCACACATTTCTTTTATTAGAGAACTAGGGACATCCTCCCTACCCTCGTCCTCTGATGAGGACCTTAGCTGCCACACATTTCGGCTCCCTTTGAAGGTCCTGCAACTTTTGTGCAGTGGGCTCTGCTTTGTGCTCCTCCACTAACTCTTCCACATCATCAGCACTAAGTATGGAGAATTTCTAGATACAGGAACTACAAACTACAGTACTATAAAATAAAAAATAAAGTGATAGTCTCTTAGCTGTAGTTTGACGTGTAGACTGCTGCCTCTACTTCCCTAGGATTGTAGGGGTCAGGTAATTCCGTTCTCTTAAATGATGCTATTTCGCTAACTCAGGATTATTGATTGTAGACAACTGAAAAATACCTTTTGAAATTCCGCTCACATCAACATTGTACATTTTACAAAAGATTAAATAATAAAATTAAAACAGCACTAACCATGACTGTTAAATTACTGGTTTGCTGTTCAGGATCATTAAAGATCCGAACTACTGTACACAATCTAGCCTAGCTCTTAAACAGTTATTGTAAATAACTATGGGTTTTATCAAATAAATATTTGATAAATAATAGCAAGATTTTAAAGTTGATTAATAGATTATATTCAGGCAAATATTATTGATAACTATGATAGTGATTGATACTTAATACTGATTATTATTGAACTTATTCAAGATTGGACTAAGATTTAATGATTATTTACTATTACCGATAATTTTAGATAATAATTATTATAGATGCTTACTTTTATTTTGGGGATTTCCCCACTTTGCAATGGCTAACAGTTTATGGAAAGAGAGAGGTCATTAAGCATGCAAATTGGCCAATTAAACATTCTATAAACAATGTACCTAACCAAACATAGAACCAGAGCCCTTGCCTGAACCATTGCTAGACCATTGATCACTTATAGGCTCAGTATTTTGGAGATTTAGATGACAGCTTTGCTGTAGGAATGATAACTTGCACTTGCGTAGGATAAATTAGGATCTAGGTGTGAGTGGTAGTGTGGCGAGTCTGTGAACATATTAACTCATTCTCACTACACTTATTAAGATAGTTATTTTAATTTAATTTGTATTAAATGGTATTTAGCACCAAATTAATTGTCTTGGGGTGCTATCACTGTGGTTAGATAATGTATTAGTGCTTTATTTGGTTTCCTTTTAGAGTTCTAAACACCATCACACACTCATAGTGATGCAGTGGGTGATACATGAACCAGGGGCCACAGGTGGAAACTGAGTACCCAACTGAGCCATAAGGACATTAGAAAAAAAGGTTTTCAGTGTCAGAGTAGTTAACAGATGGAATGTATTAGGCAGTGATGTGGTAGAGGCAGACTTCATACACAGTTTCAAATGTAGATATGACAGAGTCCAGTAGGTGCAGGAATTTGTACACCAGTTAATTGACAGTTGAGAGGCGGGATCAAAGAGCCAGAGCTCAACTCCCGCAAGCACAACTAGGCGAAAACAGTTTGAATGTCGACAAAACAATGCCCGGCTCTGGGTGTTTAGACTCCGGTCGCAGCCCTCAATCTTGTGCAGGTAACCAGCTATGATTTTATGGTACTATTAATTCACATCTAAATGAATATTTTGAGACAGTTTGTTTGTAAGATTAATTTAATGAATATTTAAGTATGATTGATTGTACTTAATGAATTAATTCTAGTTAAAATTGTGGAATGATATCACGGGAAGTAATTTTCTGTCGATTAAGCAATTTGTTGGTGCTTGTTCCTGGCCTACGTGACTTCTGGCCTGTAAGCATTCTTAGGCCTATGTGACCTCAGTAATGTAGGCATAGATGTATGACTTAGGATATATGATGTAGGATGTACTTCATTTCACTGATTTTAAATGGTAGTATGGTGGAATATTTTACACTAACCTCTAAGCCCAATGACCTGCCCAGATAGACAATATCCTCCACAACAGTGTTAAAGCCTTCAAAGTCTCTTTCTGTTGGAGCATCTGGCCTCAATTTCCTCCAGGCAGAGTTCATGGTTTTGCAAGAGACTTCCCCTTTCCCTCCAGGCTTTGTCGATGAGGCTTAGGCAATGTAGGATGTTGAAGTGGTTCTTCTAGAATTCATGGAGGGTTAACTGTGTATCAGAGGTCAATTCAAAGCACCTTTGGAATAGTGCTTTTGTGTACAATTTCTTAGTTATAAATGATCTACTGGTCCATGGGCTGGATGAGAGGAGTCATTTTGGGAGGCATGAACTTCATTGTACAGGTAATGAAGTTAAACTCTGGCAGCAACTCGGCCTCCATGCCTGGAGGATGAGCAGGGGCATTGTCCATCACAAGAAGGGCTTTCGGAGGCAATTGATTCCTTTCGAGGTATTCTTTGACACTAGGACCAAACACTTCTTTAACCCACTCAACAAAAAATTGCCAAACAGTTTTGCTGTTAGGCCTCCACATCACTTGTAACTTACTTTTCAGCACATTATTTCTCTTAAACACCTTTGGGTTCTCAGTGGTAAACTAGCAAAGATTTTACTTTAAAATCCTCACTTGCATTTCCATAATTTCATACAGAAATCACATTAGATCATGCAAGTGATGAGTCACAATAACGTGGCTAAAGTATGTTGGCCAGACCACACACTAGAAGGTGAAGGGACAACGACATTTTGGTCCGTCCTGGACCATTCTCAAGTCGATTGAATCGACTTGAGAATGGTCCAGGATGGACCGAAACGTCGTCGTCCCTTCACCTTCTAGTGTGTGGTCTGGTCAACATTAGATCATTTCATACAGAAACTAATATGAATGATATTAGTGTAATTCATAAAATATTTCCTTAATTTAAATCTACAGTTCTTGAGTATTTAAATTTGTTAATAAAGACTTGGGCCATTTTTAAATAACAAGGATGTGAAGAAATCACTGAAAATCACTGAATGTAAAGACCTAAATGATGTGTAATGCTATTTAATTTAATAAGCAGTATCCTATGATTTCATTTTCACCATATGTCCTAGGCAAAAGAATTCAAAACAAAAACATTGTTAAATTTTCATTTGCATGCAATATTGACACTTAAAGCCCATGGAATATGCATCCTTTACATTCCGAAAGGTTTACTTGATTGAAAAGTGAGTGACATTATACAATGGAAATGTGATGAACAGTCCTTTGTAACGTGTGTATTTTGTATATACAGGTACATCACATTTTGTTTACCTTTCAATGCAATACTCCAGAACACATACAAGTATTGGCATTGCACATTATATACAGATACTGGTGTACATTATTTTATATACAATGTATTGTATATTACTTGTTATTGTATATTTCATATTGTATAACTCTCCTGCAAGCAATA